CCATGTCATGCTTTTCCGGTTATTACCCGTCCCCTTGTCTGCATGAAACGGTCTGCAGAGTCAAAACCCTCAAAGTACACCCTGTAGCGAGTAAAACTCTAACACAGAAAATACCTCCCCAAAACGCCTCATTGGAGATACGTCCATTGATTCTTCCGGGTAACTCATGATGTCATGCGTTACCCGGAACCAAATGGACCAATCCGTGGAGCCGTTACGTTACGTCCGCAGAGCCGTTACGTTAAGCCCCCGCTGATTGGTCCAAATTGACCAATCCACAGACTTCCTCACACACACACTCAGTGCATGCAGCTCTGCTGATTTCTCCTCCCTGGCTGCAGGCTGATAACAGACAGTTGGGATCGCGGCGAAATTCTCTCTGCAGACCCATTCTCACAGCGTTTATCAACCTTTTTCTTACTCAATATCAAGCCACACTTATTGTTTTTACTTCGGCTGTGACTTTGTGTGTGCTCAGGGTGAGTTTGGCTGTGTTTCGCTGTGTATCGCTAAACAAGGAAACAACACCTCCACGGAGCTCAGCGCGATTCACAACGTCCCAACCAATCAGAGCACACTGTGCTCACAGGGAGGGTGGGGGCTGGAGCTATTGGAGCTCCAACGAGCCGTTAAAGGCAGAGAGTAAAATTCAGTGAATACACGTAGTTTACAGAGATGCTGTATGAGAAACCAAAGTGATTTTGGAAAATTGCCCAATATACATCTATTCTAGTAGACCTCAACAATGGAATTATGATCAGTGGAAATGGCCATGACATGACTTTAAAGTCCTTTATATATATGCATAAAATATATATAAACATATATGCAAGTATGTGTATGCATTAATCTATACATATATACAAACACGCCTTAAAATACAGTAATAAGGGCAATACTTACGTAGTAGTCAGAGATGAGCTCAGGCACACTCTCCCCCAGGTACTCTATGAGGCATCTCAGAATCACGTCCCTCTTCTTCACCACGGACACATGTTGATTCTAGAGTTAATCATTGGATCATAAATAAAAGAAGAACCGTATGGCTTGGTGAAAATGAAAACATTTATTTTCAAACCAAAGACAATTGGAATAAACCTTAAGCTCCGGATTCATTTATTGTTTGTCTTGGTTCTACACCCCTTCCTCACCTGTCTTAGTTCAGTCATGACGCCCTTCATGCGCTGTCCAACAGCTCCTCCCTTTGAGCTGAATAACTGCAGGAACTTTGAAGTGAACCTGTCCAGCTGAGACATAAACGTTGACTCCAGGGGAATAGTGTTGCACCTTCGGAACTCTTCATTTATCTGGGGGAGAGGATTTGGTCAACTACTTATACAGAAAACATGAAAAGGGTGTATGAAGCAGGACAGGAACATTCACATTTAGTCTAATAAAATACTCCAGAAGAACAAATGTTGGTAAGTTGGTATCACTGACTCGACCAAACAAAGTTCCAATTACATGTCTAGAGCTGACAAAAGGTGAGCTAAATGCTAACTTTGTGTTTCTCCCTGCCACAGCACTCTGTGCTGTGTCAAAAAATAGATTTAAAAAACACTGCTGCTGGTTTATAAAGCTTTGAATGGTTTAGGCCCAAAATACATTTCTGATCTACTGCTAAATTATGAACCATCCAGATCTCTCACGACTTAAGGGACTGGTCAGCTTTCTCTCAGAGTCAGAACTAAACGTTGAGAAGTTCAGTTATTATGCTCCAAATTATGCCTTGCCTAGGTCATTTTCAGGTTTCTGCGACTTTTTTTGTAAAAATACACAAATATAAATAATAATAATAAATAAGCCTCATCAACCAGACCTGGCTATACATAATGTATGTATATATAGACACAAAACACATGTACATATATTTTCCCATAATATCAGATGTTGCTACATGATTGCCATACAAAAGCGTGTCTGTTTAATTCAAATCTATCTTGTTCTACCCTCTCATTATTGGTTTTTGGTATCTTTAAGCAACTGATGGGGCTTCTTTCATGGGAGGATTAGATATGCTTACACCCAATTCAATCTTCGAAAAGTTTAATAATGTTTTTTTTCTGGCAGAAAGGTGCTGGCAGGGCCCTGGGGGTATCATTCTTGCATTTCATCACTTGTGTTTCCATAGTATGTTTTTATGACAATAATTTATTTAAAAAATCGGTATGAGACTGCATATGCTGCCCACACGTTGGGAAGATTAAACACACGGTGATGCTCTGAAAAAGGGTCCATGATAAGCTCTGGCCGTATTTGATGCAGCTGCATTGTGATAGAGATTAAAAAGGATAAACACATATGAATACATATCAAATGTAGAATTTGCAATTGGAACATTTGTTGGGTGAGTTTTCTTTTTTTTTAAAGTACGATTACAAAACTGTGTCTTGTAAATAATATGAGTAAAAGAAAAACTTGAATTCCAACACTGGCTGAAATACTTTTGACAGATATAAAGTTTGGAGGAAAAATATACACTAACATTTCTTAAGATTCCCATTTAATGAGTCTCTCACAAACCCCACTTTGCTACACTACAGGGTGTGGGAGGATCATTCAACCAGTTTCTTTACCTGTACAGGATTGAAGAGGGCAGGCCATCTCTCATAGAATTGTGCCACTTGCATGGACTGGCCGACCACTTCCCTTCTTCTACAGCTGTATGTTCTCGACATCATGTCATTCATCATCTGGCTATTGTCCCTGGACTTGCTTGCTGAAATGAGCTCAAGTCTTGTATTCTCCAGGCTGTCATCAGTTTCACCGGCTGGGTGTGGGGGGTAGTAGTTTACCTCAGATTTCCTTGGTTTCTTTATATTTTTGGCAGGTTTTCTGTCACCCTCTTGCTTGTGTTTCAGTGTATTAATCATCAGTTCAGGATTTCCATGGGCTTTAAGTTTGCTCCGGTAGTTTGCACATTTGTACTTTAGGCTTTGCTGCCACCCGTCACATCCGTTATAGGAGCCGGGCTCCCTCAAGCAGGGGTGCCTCTCTATAAGTGCATGTGCAACGGCGGTCCTCTGTGGATCATTGGGATAAGCTGTGTAGGAAAACATGGCCTCAGCCAGGCGCTCCAGAATGTCCGATTTACCACTTTGTGACGTCAGCAGGGTTCCGTCTTTTAAAAAAAATTCATTGCCCTGCTGCAAAGCCATCTCTGTGTTGTAGGAGAAAACGGGAATTGGAAAGACGGCAGGCCACAGGTTACGCCTGTCAGAGGCAAGGGGGCTGTGAATTACTGGATCTTGTGAATCCACAGAGGGCAGATCATCGACAGGGGACATGTCAGATGTGTCATGGTTGTGCTCCTGAGGAACTGTGGACTTTAAGAGGCCTGGTGGAATGTGCACTACCTTGAGTGTGTCTTTATCCTTGAGGTCACTTGTAGAGGTTAGAGTGAAGAAGTCATCAAAGTCAGTATCTTTGTACTGAAGACCTATTTCTGTGGTGATGGAAAAAGCTTGTTTAAACACTTTAATCAAATCCTCCACAGATGAGGGGAGGCCATTTTGAAAAGTTATCTTCTTTATTTCGTGATGGATGACGACTCGAAATTTAAAAGCTTGTTGCATATCTGCAAATAAAAGAAACACAAGCGGTTATACATGAGTTAAACATGTTCCTGTGGTCTTGAAACCAGGATGTACAGCTATATCTTAAGGTTAAAGATAGGGTTACTTTATGGTTACCATGGAAGAAGATTGCTTTTGAGAAAAAAAGAGTTGCATTTGGACCACTTAACACTTTAAAAAACACATTAAGTAAGTCAGAGAACTAGTCGTCCTGACAGAGAAACAGCCAACCAATTAGTCACACAACATTAACCATGTTAAGAGCTACAGGAATAACAAAAACAAAAAACAATTTACAAGCCTCCATATGTTTTTTGTTGATCTTTTTAACTGACAGATGGACAATCAAGTGTTAATAACCATTGCTTACACAAGGGAACCCTGTACCTCCTTCCAGAATTAATTATCACAAACTCCCAAGATCCCATTAGCCTGCTAACTAGGGGGCCCTCGGGTTCCCAGTACCATCATGCCTCCACTAGGCAATGAAGGCACTTTTTTCTTGGATGAAAAGAAGGAACACAGGCAGCCTAGATATATCTGGGCAGTCCGCTCAAGTCACCCATACACTGTATGTTCATATGCAATCAATCCTAAACGATCCGTCCTGTTATGGTATCGAATGATTGTATTTTATAAACCATAACTATAAAACAGGTAGCTCTAATGGATTAAACTACATGGTTTTTATTTGCGACATGCCCGGCGCCGTTGGAGGGCCAGGCCCTCCCATTTGACATTCCTGCCCTCCCCCAATAAACACGATTTTTATTATTTATAAAAAATAAAAATATATATAATTTAATTTTTTTTAAATTATAAATAAACTGTGAACCTTTATGCTACGATGTATGTGATGTCAGATAGTAACTAAAACAAAAAATTGCAGGCTACGTCAAATAAATTCATGTGCCTGTTGTGATTTGTGATTCATCCACATTTAGACCAATCACAGCGTCACACTCTGCCGCATTGTTTATTGTGCATTCTGTAGACTCCCATTTCTGTTTGAATTCCAAAATGGATATCAGAAATTGGCTTAAAAAGGTCTAAGGATTTATTAAAAAGAAATAACGATGAAAGAACTGCAGCCGATGGTGCTGCTGGCGACCCTGCACCTGCCGTTGGAGCAGCACGTCTTAATGTCACAAGCTTGACCTCGGCAAACCCCGGGGCTGAGTTAGCGAGCCCAAGCCTTGACTCATCAAGGCGGCCGCCACCAACGCTGTCCTCCGAGGCACAGCTCCTTGTGCCCCTACCATCACCACCTGCGTTGCCACACCCTGTACCACACCCGCCAGCATCCTCCTCCTCCTCCGTGCCGGTGCCTCCACTACAGACGCTACCTTGCAGCACATCAACAGGTAGGCTACTTTTGGGCCAGCAACCGCTCAAAGACCAACCGCCCCAGATGATCTTTAATAAACCCAACCAGGTGAAACTGGATCGTTATCCAGGGAGATTGTTTTCAGGGAAGAAGCGCACTTTTGCCACTGCATGGTACAACAACAGACCATGGCTTGAATATTCGTTAAAGCAGACGCAGCCTTTTGTTTCCCCTTTAGACAGTTTAAAGTAAATACGTCTTCATCTGATGCGGCTTTTACTGTCAAATTTTTTTGCGACTGGAAACATATTACAGACTGATAAAGGACTGCTAAGGCATGCCGCATCAAAAGAACACATTTCATGTGAGAGTTCGTGGAGAGAGAGACAGATACGCGAGGAAACAAATAAGGAAATTAGTACTTTGGTGCACACAGATCAGCTGGCACGGAACCGTTATTACGTGTCACCTGTCGTTGATATTATAGCTTTTTTAGCTGTCAACCAACTCCCTCTCAGAGGTGACCACGATTCACTCCACAGCATGTCCAAGTGCAGTGCAGGAAAATAAACCATGCCCAAGGCGGGCTAAACAGTTCATCGTCTCCGTCTCTATATTTCTTTCCTGAGGAAGCTACCATCCTTAACCAGTGTGCTCATGATTTACCAGTGTTTGTGCTGCCACGCACACAATGTTTCAAAAGTGGTTTCTATGTTGCCCTTTATTTGTGTATGCATTTGCGATACGTGTGCGTCTTTGCGCAATGCTGTTGGCCTTGCTGTTTGATATATATTGTTCCGCAGGCCCGCAGCACATGACGGTTTTGTGTGCCCTCCCATGAAAATCATATGCCCTCCCTTTAGATTTGTTCTGGCGCCGGGTCTGCCCTTACTGTAGAGTAAACACTGCAGGCCGCACACTATTAAAACTCAGCTGAAACATAAACTGTTGTTATGTTTTATACTTTACCATATTACATTATTAGTCATAGAATTTTAAAGTAACTAATCACATCTGAGGCTAAAACGCATTCTGTTGTTTCACTGAGCAAAAAGCACTCTGATGTTGGTTTGTGTCGTGTTTTCTCTTGATATTTGGGAGCTGTTGTTGCATTCTGTCAATGTGTGTCTCTGCAGGTCACCTGGGTCAGAGCAGCTGTCAGTCAGATGAGTTCCTGTGTGGGAACGGGAAGTGTCTCCCTCGCTCCTGGAAGTGCAACGGTCAGGATGAATGTGGCGATGCGTCAGATGAACGCAGCTGTTCCCCCCCTCCCACGGAGGCGCGGCCTGGCCTCTGCCCCCCCGGCTCCGTCCCGTGCACCGAGGCCCAGTCCACCCGCTGTCTGCCCCCCGCCCTGCGCTGCAACGGGGCCCGGGACTGTCCCGATGGCACAGACGAGCACGGCTGCCCCGACACCACCTGCGGAAAACGTCTGAGGAACTTCTACGGCTCCTTTGCCTCCCCAGACTTTTTCCGGGCCAACAGGAGCTCTGTGGCTGAGCTGAGGTGTTCGTGGTGGCTGGACACCCAGGACCCCAAGCCCATCGTGCTGCAGCTGGACCTGCAGCTGGGCCCCGGGGACTCGCTGCATGTGTACGACGGCCTGCTGCAGCGCGCAGAGCACCTCCTGCAGGTGCTGTCTCATCACAACAACCGGCGCCCGGCACTGCTAGAGTCCAGCCGGGGACAGATGAGTGTTCTGTACATGGCCCAGCCTCACAGCCCAGGACATGGATTCAACGCCACATACCAGGTACTGCAGACTGGGAACACTTCATCCGGTTTTTCAGAAAATTAGTTTCAAAGTCTTTTCAACGCTTCATTGTCTTTTACAACTTTTTGTTCAAACCTTCTGTAAGGGAGAGCTCCAACTATCTTTAAAATTCAAATGGTTTTATCCAATCCACTCCAATCCAACTTTATTTATATAGCACATTTAAAAACCACAGAGTTTACCAAAGTGCTGTTCATCAATAAATATATATAAAAGCAGCAAAAATACATTTAGACAAAAAAAAAATACTTATGGCCACAGACTGAAATGTTTTAATCATATGCTCTAAACCAGCGGTTTTCAAAGTGTGAGGCGTGCCTCCCTGGGGGGCGCCAGAGAGCTTCAGGGGAGGCGCAGCGTGAGACAAAAAATAACGAGAAAAATACGAGTAAAGTGACACTTGCACACTTTTGGCTGTCTGTGGAGACCGAGTTCCCCCACCTCGCCAACAAGGCAGCAAAAGTGCTCATTCCCTCCACGGCTCCACCTACCTGTGTGAGTGCGGGTTTTCCGCATTGACTTTGATCAAAAGCAAGTGCCGGTCAAGGCTGCAGCCAGAGGATGATCTGCGTTTATTCCTGTGTGCATCAAAGACGCAGACTCATTGTTCCCACTAAAGTAGGGGTGAGTGTAATAAGGAGGCAAAGTTGACGTTCAGTGTGTTGCCGGGAGCAGTATAAGGATTTATCCACCATGTTGAAAATGTTAAAAAAAATATGTCTTGAGAACACGGCGTGCGGAAATATACGGGTCGTGCTGCAGCTAGATGTGCCTGTCCTCTGTAAGAAGGTGTCGGCGACTGACATGCAAGGAAGAACGGCTGTCCACAGGCTGTTCCAACTTTAACAACTTTTATTAACTTCCAGGGTAGTGAATTGAACATGCAATTGTAATTGGGTGTGTGGTATATTTTCATGCACGCACAAGCATGTTCCACAACACTCAATTGTCCAATCGCTACCAGTGTCCTTGCGATCTTGTTATAACAACAAGTGCAAGTTACTGATGCAATATGGTTGAGACCATTCACTTCTTCTAGAGGGGTGTAAAGAATAGTCCAAGTAGTGGGGGAGTTTTATACATAAAGATAAAAAGGTTTTAAAAAGTTATTGTTTAATGTTTTAAGGAGGTGACGCTACTCAGCCAATCAAATCGTTGCAGTCAGTGAGTCAGCACGATAGATTCAAACACACACACAGAGACGAGACAAGAAGAGAGAAAAAGTCGGAGTAATGTCAAATGGCGGAAGGTAGACAGTGAAAACAGAGCATTTCATGACATGTTCTCTTACTGGACCTCTTTGAAATGCTATTGAATACCCCTGCATTATAGCAACAATAATAATAATAATAATAATAATAGCAATAATTATTGGGATGGGGGGCGCGGCTGTTCTTATGTTCACTAAGGGGAGGCTCACCTTCCCACACGTTGAAAACCCCTGCTCGAAACAATTTTATTCAATAACGTCCCATTTGGGGTTCCTTTCAGAATTTCTATCTACATTTAAGGTCTTTTGTGATTGGTATAGTTGAAAGTACCTTTATTTCTGTTTGCCCAGAGACCCATCAATCCAGCGGACACCAACTACTCCTCTCTGATGCATTCTTCCTCTGCCGTCTCTAGGTCAAAGGTTACTGTTTTCCCGGCGAGCGTCCCTGTGGCAGCGATCAGGGCTGCTACTCTGAGCGCCAACACTGCGACGGTTACTGGCACTGCCCATCGGGCCGCGACGAGGAGGCCTGCCCGACCTGCCCCGACGGAGAGTTCCCCTGCGAGGGAGGAACTGGGGTCTGCTACCCAGCCTCTGAGCGCTGCAACAACCAGAAGAGGTGTCCAGATGGGTCTGACGAGAAGAACTGCTACAACTGCCAACCTGGAAACTTCCACTGCGGGACCAACCTGTGCATCTTCGAGACGTGGCGTTGTGACGGCCAGGAGGACTGCTTGGACGGCAGCGATGAGAGGGACTGTCTGGCAGCCGTGCCCAGGAAGGTGATCACAGCTGCCCTGATCGGGAGCCTCGTCTGCAGCCTCCTGCTGGTCATCGCCCTCGGCTGTGCCCTCAAACTCCACTCCCTCAGGAGCAGAGAGTACAGGTGTGCCGAAAGCACCATTGTGCATGTGATGTTCTTGTTTTTCGTCATCCCTTTGATTTATTTACTGCTTTATACAACAAGATGAATGTCTGAGTAGGTCACCTTATGATCGCTCACTCTCTGTCTACGCCACTTCAATGATCTTTTCTTCTGTCGTGCTGTTTGTCCTGCACTCTTTTTTCTACCTCTCTCTCTGTCTCTCTCTTTCATTATCCTAGTTTTTAGTTTATTAGTTTCCTGTTTATGTTTAAAAAATGTTTTTCCCCTTGTCCAGTCTGTTTCACTCCTGGCATTATTAGTTGCCATTAGCCCTGCAACCACCTGACCTCTTGCACACCTGCACTTCATCCGCTGATTAGTTCAACTTGCTTTTGAATCGTAGCTATCTGTTACATTTTTGCCGGGATCCTTGTATGTTGGTCAGCTGGAAGGTCTGTTTAGTTGTGTTTGTTTTGCCCTCCCCGGATTACCTAAAAGTAAAGGTATTTTCCTTTCTTCTGTATTTGGGTCCACCCAGCTATTTACAATGACAGTATCTCTGTCTTTGTCCCTGTCCCTGTCTTTGTCCCTGTCTTTGTCCCTGTCTCTGTCCTTGTCTCTGTCCTTGTCTCTGTCTCTGTCTCTCTTACAGAGCTTTTGAGACTCAGATGACTCGCATGGAGGCCGATTTTGTTCAGAGAGAGGCCCCCCCTTCGTATGGCCAGTTAATCGCCCAGGGTCTCATCCCTCCGGTGGAAGATTTCCCCGTGTACAACCCCACCCAGGTAATTCATTCACACACAATAATACATTTCTGGTAATTGTTTTCCTGAAACTTAGGATTCAAGCACAATTTGAAATTGAAAACGTACTTAAACAAAGGTGGATAAAAACACCTAATGGCTGTCAATATACACATATTTCCATTAACTCTTGCCTAATCACGTTATTAACTGAAATGAATAGTTAACATTTTGTTAAAAAAGTTTTTTTCTCTTGCGTTAAGGGATGCCATTGTGAAATCTTAGTGGTTAGTATCAAGCAAAGGCCAGCAGTCTTTTAGCTTAACTTAGCTTAGCACAGATACTGGATAACAAAGGAGCAAGATCGGCCTACCAGTTCATCTAAGGATGACAAATGAACAATTATATCCTATTTGCTTGATTGCTTGCTATCTACCTGATATTTGGATAGAAACAGGAATGACGTTTTCCTCCGTCTCCCCCTCCTCCAGGCGTCCGTGTTACAGAACCTGCGTCTGGCGATGCGCAGGCAGATCAGACGTCACTCCACGCGACGCTCCACCTCCTCTTCCTCTCACCGACGTCTCGGGCATCTATGGACTCGCCTGTTCCGCAGTGGGGGGCGAACCAGAGGGAATGCCCCTCTGCTGGACTCCCCTGGACCCACACAGATCACACTGGGGCTCCACAGCTACCAAACTGTGGGTGCGCAGTTGCCCAGGAGCTGGGCTGTGGGACAGGCTCGATGGGAACAGGTGGATGCAGTGGGGTCCCGGCGCTCTGTAACCAGGACCCTGCAGTCCTGCACGTCAGAGAGCCCCGCATCACCTCTGTCCTTGCAGTCTGCAGACAGCCCAGAGGACGTGCTGTCACCAGTCAGCAGGGAGAGCAGCAGGTGTCCACAGTCAGAGCCCCCCACACCTGTCCAGAGGGACTCTCTAACTCATAGCGGGCGCCCCACAGATCCCCAGGAAGCCTCTGTGCCTCCATGCAACATCCGCACATCAAGGAAACTTGTTCTGGAGCTCGCTGTTAACCTGAATGGTGTTTCCTTGAGACGATACTCCCCCTTGGGGCCCTTGTCCCCTATCTCACCCCCTGTGTTTTCTAGCAGATCCCAGACCGCCACAACAACTCACCCTCACCCCCAGGGACCAGAGGTGACGTCACCCTCCGAACCCTCATCTACTTCTGTGAAAGCAGACGACAGCCACTTTACTGTGGAAGTGCCAAGCAGGGAAATAAGGAGCAGGGATAAGAGGAGGAGTAGAGAGGGCAAAGGCAGAACCTTTAGTGATGAGGGAGGAAATTCAGGGAGGGAAACAACGCCATGCTGAGGAGTTAGGGAGGTACCCTCCTTCCACTCTCTCGGCTGAGACCTGCTCTCATCAATATCTGCTAAAGTGACCTTGAGATGAATTCCTATCAGATCCAGAGGTGAGACCTGTACCTTAGCCCAATTCAGTCAAATATAATTAACTTGTGTCTATTCACTTTAAAAATCTGCATATGCATATGTGTAAGATTATAAACCAGCATTAGTAGTGCTTATGGTCTTTGTTGTGCAGTTTATATTTTTGTCAAGGAGCTTAAAGGGATAGTTTGGATGTTTTGAAATAGGGCTGTTTTAGGTACTTATCGATTTTGAGTGTATAATCTTTTGAAGTTGGTGGATGTCTATCTTAAAAGTCCATCCTAAAATAATCTGGGGGTTCCTGAGGTTGTTATCCCTGCTATCTTCAAAGCCACCATACTCCATTGACCAAAACAGTATTCTTTACCTTGTAGAACGCGTAAGCTGCTATTGTGCTATTATCTCGAAAGGTCAGATTCACCAAAGTCACACAATAGCACACAATGACTTAGTGATCGGGAGAGTGGAAGACCAGCAACTTTATTTCTCTATGAGCAAAATATCAGTTTCTGTCAATGGAGTTTGGTGGTTTGAGTTATTTGTCGAAAACGTTCTAAATATTGGTTAGACTTAAACTGATATTGAATGTATTCTATGGTTTATGTTTTAGGTGGTTAAATATAACTAATCAACCCCAAAATCCCAACTAATGTTGATTCCCTTTTGGGACATGACCTCGTCAGGAGCCCTGTTCCAGAAAAATCGAAACTCAATTCTGGCCACCAGTACCAATTGAATATTAGCTACATGTTCTTACAACGCCAAAGCAGTCTTTGTGTCGTTACCCAGAGCCATTTTGCACCGCTATATACTGTGAACCAAAAAAGCCTGTTAAGTGATCACAAATGAATTTTCCTTGCTTCATGGCCCTCCAGTCTGTCTTATTCCCACTTTAATGTAGAGGTAGTGTTATTATCAGAAGTTCACGGTAGGCTGTTGCATATCAGGTGAAAGCTGGTGATATTGTCCGTTTTTCGTATAGTCGATAAATCAAATGAAAGACCAATATGAGCACGTCCATTTCTAAATGCTTTATGACTTCACCAGACCTTTGTGATGGATATTTAAATGTTTTAAAATGCTAAATAGTTTTCTTAAACGTTTTCAGGAAAAATCGCATTTGTTTGAGACTAATTTGGGCTGAAATAGTGTTGCTCATTTATGTGTTTTAGATAGACTACTACGAAGCTCTTTGACATTGAGGAATACGCTTTTATACTTGTTAGTATACACTTAAGCAATAGCTCACGACAGGCCGTGGTATATGCTCATTATATCACAGCTAAGGGGCGTGGTTCGGCCTGACGCGAAGCTATTGAGGAAGTTATTGCTTAAGTATAATATAGGCCTACATTGAGTATATTGGTCTTTTCACAGGATTTTTGATAATACAAAAAATAAATAAAGCCAGACCTTTCACTTCCATTGGCAAGGATGAACATTTTTGGAAATACGTTCATTTGCTTTCTATTGGAGAGTTGGATGAGTAGATAGAAACCACTCTAATGCCTGTCCGTAAAACATAAGGCTACATCTAGCAGTTGGTTAGCTTAGTCTAGTTTGGCCTAAATTCTGGAAACAGCTAGCCTGGCTCTGTCTGAAGTTAGCGGGTGAGCTTTAACGGCCCTTTGTGGCAGTGTCTCACCTTCAGAAGGAGCCATGCTGTCTGTTATTTTAAGTTTACAGTATTTATGATAAGCTATGCTAACCGGCTAACCCTTGTCCATAAGGATATGCAATATGTGGTATCAATCCTTCATATGAGTACATATTAGCGTAATTACCAAAACCCTTTTTTTTTTTTACAATGCAGTTTCACAGAATAATTCAATCATGCCAAATATTTGTCCGTTTTAATTTAACATATGCTGTACATTTCTTCAGTTATACTTAATTTACCCTCTTCGAACTTAAAAAATGGTTTCACTACGTTTAAGAAAATGTTATCAAACTGATTTTTCAATTCAGATTTTTCAATTAAGCCTTTTCAACTTGACATCATCCGTTTTGAAACCAAACTTGAATGGAAACTGAGGTAAAGAGTCCAAGAACCTGTAACTCTGCTCACCCCTCACCCCCCTCTAATCAAACATACACTCCTCTCAAGGAAGCCTTTCCTCACTTGAATGAACGTGACTGTTTCGGAGGCAGTGTCTACGATTTTATGTGAATGTGTCGGGAACAGTAGCTTGACTTCAGAAAATTTATTGTTTGTCGAGTCGTCTTCATCCCAGCGGTACCTCTGCAGCACTGCAGACCTGCTGACTGCTGACGCCTGCTTTATTACACTGGAAATTCATATCTATGCTGTGGACATTTCTATGACAGGATATGATAAAAGGCGTCTATTTTTCAGTCTTCAATGAGGACCTCTATTCCTACTTTATATTTCTCTTTCTGTCTTGACAAACATTGAACTTGATTGGACATGATCGCTTGATGTTTTTCTGTGAATCTTTTCTCTGAGGTGACCCTGGTGACGTTTACTAATTACTGTTGCGCCTCTAAAGAATGTATCACTTCCATTGTTTCTTGAAATGCATTTATCTCTCTTTTACTGCAGGATATTGCTACTGAACAGGTACTGAACAAGTCAGATAACTTGTGTGAAGAGGCAGAGTTAGAGAAATGACAGAAAGCCAAATGCTGATTGTTTTAAAAGCAGCACTGTCAGGGTTCCGTACTAAAAAACATTGTCTTGCAAGTTATTTTTTTTACTTTAAAGAGATAGTTTGGATGTTTTGAGGTGGAGTTACATGAAGTTCTTATCCATAGTGATTGTATTGCCTCGATCGATGAGTTTGTTTTGTTATAATGCAAATTAGGGGAGATTTGAACGAGCCTTTTTAAAACACCAAAGTACGCAATTTACAGACTAAAGATAAATGACTCATACAACTCCACTAAAAACATCTAAGCTGTCCCTTTAAGTGACTGAATGTGCCATGCTACCCCATGTCCGTCCATCTTAAAGAGATTCTTTTTCATAAACAGCTGCTAAATGTTATGTGCCATTAGAGATGTCTCCATAAGTAATTCCTAGCCTTCCTAGCTTTACATATTTTTTGCGTATTTCATTTTGTACCTTGTTCAAAGTTTAAGGTCTGACCTTTCTCCTTTTACTATTAGTTTAAAAAAAATGTACACATCTGTATAATGTATGTCCTGACTTTCTTTGAGGTGTACACATTTATTTAAAAAATGCCTTAATGGTTTTTCCCTGCTGTTGTAAATATCACCAATAGTTTCTTGGCCCACATTTGTAGTTGTCATGTATGAAGGGATTAGATGTGTCTGTGTCTGGACACAGCGTTATGATATGACATGTGATTGCTACAACCGACTGCTCTGAAGTTGTAGTGCACTACTGCATCAGGGATTATTATGGCAGGGAAGTCAGGGCAGAAGAAAATGTTGCTTTTCAAAAAACATATTCCACTGTATTTACCTGTTTATTTAAATCTTAATCTGTCAAAGTCTTGGTTAAATTATCTTTCTTTGATATTTTTCAGACTGCAGAAAACCAGTTATAAAGATGAGTGTGCCAACATATTACTATTTGAAATGTAAAGAAAGATTGATTGTGTCATAGTGACAGTTTAGAGAATATTTTATTATCTGTCAGGCAAGATCAATGCTATGTCTCGATTTGCATACTTCTGTACTATTTAGAGTTCATAAGTGTGTCTTCAAAAAGAATTGCAAGATCCACACTCTATGACCACCATCTTAGCATGGGTAACAGACATTTCAGGAACAGCCGTGATTGTTTTTGCTCTGGTTAATGAAGCACTATACAAATACAAGTTAATTATTGGGTTTTCTTCACAATTTGAAAGACGTACAACTATATTTGTATCGAAAAAGAAGCCAACATACATTTTATTGGGTTAATTGAGTAGTTTGTAATGATTTGCTACCTCGATCATCTAGCTAGCGAAGATTGTTATCATCACTTCCGGCACAGCAGAAATTCACGCACTGCCCAAGTTTTCACATTCTAGGAAATTCAGTGTACCGATGGAAGTATCCAAATTGAAACGCAGCTGAAGTATTTCTCTATACCCTTGCTTTGATTGCTTTGTTGTCAAGATTTTCACAACTGTATTTTCAGTGGGTTTTTTTTCTTGATTGCATTTTTTCTCTATAATGCACATTATCAAACCCTTTCTGATGTTGCAACAAAGTCTCACGGCATTTCGTGTTTTAGTCACAAAATTAATCTATTGATTTGTGTTCACCAACACGATTTCGCCATTTTTCTCGTGTCACACAGAACGATTTTAAAAGCAATTTAAGTAATAACAATTTAGAAGGAAAAACAGATTTAAAAAAATACAGATTTCAGTATTCTGACAAAGAACGATGTTAGAAGCAATGTATTTCTATTGGTAGTATATTTCGTGCCTGCACCAAATAACAACAAATAAGAAGGAAAAAAAGATGACAAAAAATACAGATTTCAGTATTCTGAGGCTGAGCCCCATTTCTTTTCCTCGCGGACGGCAAAAAAACTTCGACATTATACAATTTAAAATAAAAGGGATAGGGTTAGGCTTAGGGTAAGATATTGAGTAAGACATTTTTTTTATGAACCCCACAGCTTCTGGTATTCCAAGACCCGACCGGACAAAAATACGTGGTGCAGGCACAAAACACACTACCAATATAAATACATTGCTTTTAAAATCGTTCTGTGTGACACGAGAAAAATGCGAAAATCGTTTTTTTCGTGTTGAACACGAATCAATAGATTAAATACATTTTGTGACTATAACACGAAATGCCGTGAGACTGCAATTTTCAATTGGTAAACACTTGGTAAATACACTGAATAGAGGAAATAAAGTACTACTGAACCAGGTTGTCTGAGAATTGCATTGCCTATCCTTGCTGTTTGAATGTGAAGCTTCTTCCCCATGTATGCTTTGTTTGTATAAAAGCATTTCTCTTATTTAAAAAAACAACTATATTTGTATATTTTGTGCTGAAAGGAATGCCACCATGACGTTTTGGGGATTGCTGTTCAAAGCCCTGTAAAGCCTTCTGCTGATTATTGTTCATTGTTTTACTGTGCCTGCAATTAATAAACCGTAAGCCGTTTATTTACTGAATTATTTTAGTGTACAAATGTATTTTTTGCATCAAAATAATAATACTGACACGACCACCACCATAAAACTGGTAGTTTACGGCAAGCAATTTATTTACAATAGTCAAACTTATTTTGTATGGAAGCCCTTAGAGGTGAGAAATGGATTTGTTATGATGATGGATTTTCTAAGTTTGATATTAATTACTTTCTCACATGTCTTTATGACTGCTGAAAAAATGGTAATGCCAAAAATGTTTTTACCTGTTAGTAAGTCATATGCACAGGAGACGACACAATTAAGATCAGACATAGAAACTGAATCACCAGTATTTTCTTTCTCATTTGTGTCTGAGGGCTCCTGTACCTACTTGTATAATCAAAAAAAAGATGCATCTCAGAATTTGCTATATTTAATAGGTAATTACATTGTTATTTTTGCACATCTTTACACCCTTTTACAAAACACAGCGGTGCACCGATCAATTGTACACAGTATGTAAATGTTTCACAACATGTCTGAGGAATGTGATCTTTGTGAGAGTCACTGGCCCATTTGTAACAGTTTGTTCTTCTATACACAGTATTTACAGATCTCAGCTGAGCAAACAGCGCCTGGACATGGCAGACAGACATTGTTGTTTGAAGTGTGAGTCTTTTAGTAGATTTTCGTTGAAAAATACTGTTCAAAACATGCTGGTTTACATTGTTAAAAAACCTACATATGTTTTGTTGTATGTACACAAAAGGAAGCTTATGGGCTGTAAGATACTACTTAAATACAACAAATATCACATGGAGCACATTTATTTAAAGGAATACTTCACCCCCAAAATAACCATTTGTCCATCAAATTTTCATTCTGTGTTGATTTTACATTTCTCACGAGCTTCCGTGGTGAACAAACAATCAGAAAAGGGAGAAAAGTCTTGATGCATTTAAGAAAATGGGTGACACGTTTGCATAAACAGATAATTTGGGATGTGAAGTATTCCATAAGGTAGTGGTAGTGCGACTTGAGTGAGAACCATTTTACCATAAGTGTTTGGGGGCAACTTAATACTTCAATGGGGTCAAAATAAGTCCACTGAAAAACCAACTATATTAATTCAAAGGTACCATAGCAAGTGAGTTGATCTATAAAGCGTCGGCCTGGGGTGATTATTGTTCTGATCTTTGGGGAAGTGGGAGCAGGCCCATGCATGTTAATGGTAAACGCTTTATCATATCAGATGAGAAATATGAAATGTAATAGCTGTCTTGTCAGGTGAAGCACCTTGAAAGAGTTCACAGAAGCATTCCTTAAAAAACGATCACAAATCAGAACAGGCGGTTCAAAAGGTGGTGTTGCGATAGAGCTTATTCATTTCTGAGAGGCAGCTTTTCGTGGTGGTGATAGCTTCAAACTTCTCGCCATCGTCCTTTCTCTCCTGAGCTGTAAATATTGCTGGGAAAAATGAGCGTAGTTAAGATAATCGCTCTAGTGGGGCACCTACATTATCTCAGTATGATCTAATAAAAAAGAGAGAGAGAAAGAAGCCTAAAGTTGAAAGAATTGCTAGATAATGAAGCAAAACAGAGATATAGACAGAAAATTACTCATCCACATTTGATGAACAGTAAACATCTTGTGAATAATTAGTGAAAATCGCTGAAGGTAGCAGCAGTAATAGAGAAGTATTGCTAAGTGCAGAAACTGCTTGCATATTTACCACAAAAATGTTATTGCATCATCAAAATATCCGGACAAACCAACACACAACACCATCACATACATTTCATAAGGCACATTAGCTCAAGGATATTACGTAGAAGATGCTATAAAGATCTGAATGAAATAGGGAGCACGGACTACTGCTGATGAGAATTCAGAACCAGTACCAAGTATCACATAAAAACAGCTAATGCCACTGCCATAGGTGTAACCTTCCTCTTATTTTATACTGGAGCGTAATGAAGGCAGTATCTAGGCTCGACTTTGCAATATGCCACTACACAAACATCTCTTAACCATCCACAAACTGACCAATGTGAAAAAAAGGGAGGGAAAAACTGGAAGTACAGGTGTGGATGCAAAATGGGAATTCCTGGGTGACTGCGCTGCTCAGTCAGTGGCTTTGGAGGAAGTGAGGGGTTCAGTCTCTGAAAGGTCTTCCTGAGGAAACACCACATAACACACCTTCTGGCCCACGTATGTGACTTTTTCTGCAATCAAAAGAAAACAGTTTTAATAATAGGGACTAACTACGGAGTGATTTTCTAAGTATGATCTAAATGTTTTTCATTTTGTGTTTATGAGTTAAGAAGTTAATCTTTATTTGTTCATTTTCTTTTACGAGGTAAAGAAAAACGTTGTGTTGCTGTCACACACATTTTGGCCACTAGAGGCTGATTTGCTCCACTGCTCAACAGTCTATAGAGGAGTGAGTTTTATTTTCAACATGCACTCAAACACAAGGTGAATTGTGTGTTAGCAAGCAATGTAACATTACTGTTGTGTTAGGATAAGTTAAAAGTCGCCTAGTTCTTATTAAGAGCATTCTGTAAAGCCATTTCAGTGTTGTTTGGTCAAAACACCTGCCAACACTTACATTTTTTCAGATATTAAGAAAGGTTATCCCAGCAATAGATCATTTTCACCTTTTCTTACTTCATAAACAAACAATAGAACTATCAGACTTATAAAATGTATTGTCTGTCATGCCATAGTTAACATCTCTTAAAATGATATAAAATACGATTTGAATATGTACAGTGGCACGACCCAACTTACCGACTACCCTATAGACCCATTTGGGTTTGTCCTTCCAATGAACACCAACAAAGTATACAGGGACTCCAGTCAGCATGATGACCATTCCCAGGCCACAAACCACTGGTTCAGAGTACAGACTGAAGCCCAGCAGCACAGCCCAGAATACCAGGTAGGCGATGGGGATCAACATGCTAATCTGCACAACACAAAAACACACAAGTTATTACATTACTTCCATCTCAAACAAGCATATTACATTATATTGTATTCAAGTACATGGTTTGGATAATAAATATCTGTAAAAAGCCATTTTAAAGACACAGTTATGTGTGCATTTTTTGTCTATCTAGAACAGGGGTGGGGAACCTCCGGGCCGTATACGGACCGCGAGACCATTTGGTACGGCCCTCGAGGTAATTTATATCCTGACATTATTATGACTTATTAAAGGGGAGATGTATTTTTATACTGAGTTGTCTGTTGGTTTCTGTATTGAAGAGAATGTGGGTAAAGTTGTAAAAATGAAGCCACTACATTATTCCTCACTCTGACTCATTTCCTTTTACATATCAATAGGCATTTTAAAACTCAGGTAAAGGTAAGAATACATATATTTACAACATTTCCCAGTTGTAAATTAGTACAATGTGTCTCATTGTAGGTGAAGTAATCCAAGAGCTATGATTAGATGGTTATTTAAGGCCATGGGATAAAGAAAATCAAAGTTAACTTTAGTTCCTGCTGTTAACCATGCTTCTCAGGTTTCTGTACCTTGATGGGTCTGACCATGTTGGGTTTCTTCTTGCGGAGGTAGAGGAGGCCAGCAATTGTTACTCCATAGGACAGATAGTTGATGAAGGACACATAGTTGATCAGGTTGTGTGTCTCGCCGATGCACAGGATGACTATAGTGGCAAAGCACTGTGGGAGATGAGGGGGTCAAATACATATCATACTTACTAAATATAATAGTAAATAGTTACATGTTAATATTAATAGATACACAAAAAATACAAAGCTGTATGAATCACTCACGCAGACCAGTAGGGCTGGGATTGGAGTGCAGTTCTTCAAGTGGATCATAGCCAGCAGATAGGGCAGGTGACCCTCTCTGGCTCCGGAGAAACACAATCTACAAACATGCATTCAGATAATTGCTTATTATCTGTTAAAACTTTGAGCATTAGCAATGCTAATCATTTTAATTTAACCAACCCACATACACATTTCCTGGTTTGTTATTATCATTATTATTATTATTATTATTGTTTATCATTATGAAATGTATCGGCTATCTAATTACATCTTCTTTTACTACAACAAAATCATTACACTTTTATTGTGTCCTATGCAAAACTGTTCAATGTGTTCTGTTACTGCCCAAGCCTGTGTATGTACAAACCTGATACTAGTACTTGGAAAAATGAGTCAATTCTAAAAGGACTATAAAATGAAGGTTGGGTATGTGCATCCAAGTGAGGAGTGTTTTTTCTACCTGGAGGAGGTGAACAGATATCCGTTGATTCCTCCGAAAGTGGACAATGCTACAGAGATCGGCATGACCCAGGAAAACATCCCCAGCAGCTTTTGCCCGAATGTCTGGAACAGCACAACATCGGGTGGGTTAGATTATTGACATTTACTGGAAAACGTTGGTAGCTGAGTACTTAGAGTGCATGCCATATAACCGCAGCGCCCAGTGTTGGAGTCCAGCTCTGGGTCCTTTGTTTAATGTCTTACTGTCAAATAACGGGGACAATTAATTAATTATTAATGTGACTGGAAAACACATTGTGTCATGATCCGCCCTGCAATTTGGATATGGTTTTTCCTTTATTTCATGATTTATTATTTACTGTTTCCTGTTTTATTTTGAAACATACCTCCTCTTTGTTTGCAGACTTCACTTCCTGCTTTTGTACTTTTTCCCTCCTTCTGTGATTGTTGCCACCTGCCCCTCTTTATTATATTTCACATCATTAATCCAAATCTGTAAAGTAACTAAAGGTACAAAATAAATATAGTGGAGTAAAAGTACACCATTTACCTCTGAATTGTGGTGGAGTAGAAGTACAATGGAGATACTCAAGTAAAGTACAAGTACCTCAAAATGTTACTTAAGTACAGTACTTGAGTAAATGTACTTAGTTACTTTACACCTCTGGCTATATCAGACTGTGACTACACACATAGGGCTTGTGTAAGAGAGCGAAAACAGTTTTAGTTGAATGTTTTTTTGTTTGTTTCTTAGAATGAAAGTCTCATTTGTTAATATTCTAGGTCTGTAATTCCATCAAATGAAAGTAGTCACGAACTGAATTCATGACTCTTTCTGACATGTTCCCACTGGGATCATGAAAAACACTTATTGACTAGCAGATTGTTTGAGGTCTGCCACGCTAGGATTGTGCATTCCAGCAGTCTTATAATTCTCACATAACAGACTCTTGCTCAACAGCATATGAAGTGCTCTGAATTTGTTCATGCAGATGGAGTTACTCACCACTGCCACAGCGTTGGAGGCCAGCAGCTCCTCGGGGGTCATGGAGGAGAAGTAGGCGATGTTGGTCAAAGTGTAAACCAGGGTCACCAGTGGGATGGAAATGTAGATGGCACGGGGCAGATTCCTAATTTAAAAAATAATGATTAAAGTAATGCCGATTATCCAAGTGCTGGTGTGTCAGTGCATTAACAGCAAGACATTGTCAAATATAATAGAATTCAAGCCTATTATATAGTTCTGAACTTAGCGACTGAATTGTATATTATTTGATCCTGTCTAGATACAAGTGTTACCATATAAACCATTATGTTTAATGTTGTTTATATGTAAACCTGTAGAAATGTAAAATACTTTCTTAAATTGTCTTCTGTACCTTTTTTTCTGCAAGTCTTTAGAGTATAACATACTTAAATATTCAAATGTACTCTACATAATGATGGAGAGATAACTTTTTTATTAATCTACAACTAATAACAAGTGATAAATAAACGTAACTAGTATTACATTATTTGAAGAAAATTAATATATCCATTCATTCAGAGATCACACATTTCAAATTTGATTACTTTGATTATGTGTGGAATATTTCAAGTCTTAATCTATTCCCTTTCATAGACTTTTGTAAACATTTTGATTCAGGTGTGGTGCTTGCCGTACTTGCGTGGCTCCACGATCTCCTCTGTGACGTAGTTGAGGAAGTTCCACCCGCTGTAAGCGAAGGAGGCCTGAAGGAAGGCCAGCGCTATCTGTCCTACTGACGGGTCCTGACTGAAATCAAAGGCCACACTCGGCCGCAGGGCATCGTAGTGACCTGGAGAAGTTGAGAGGAAGCCATTTTTGGATAAAGGAATATAACCTGTATAATATCACCTGGAAAGGTTTAGTTGCTTATTTGGTTAAAGTCAAAACAAATGTTTGTTCTCTAGTTGAGACTCTGGGCACAGACATACTAAGGCCCTACCACCTTTTTGCATATGAGAGAGACAGATTTAATGGTTGTTTAGCCTCATCTTGTTGTCATTTAGAGTCTGTTTGTAGTCAATGTTTGTTACTCTGTTGCTCTTTTGATAGCTGCTGATTTTTGCCTGTAATTGCGTCTGTTTGTAGTGGGGTTTTTTTTTGTCCCGTTGTAGTTTTGTGAGTCTCTTGGTATCTGCATTGTGTCTCTTATATCTTTCATATTTTGAGGCTCTATGTAGTTATTTTGAGGCTCTAGGATTGTTTTGTACCTTCTGATAGTTGTTATGCGTTTTTGTGCCTCTTTTTGTGGTCATTTTGTGTTACCCTGTTACTGTTTTGGTTGAAGTTCACTTTTACCAGCGATTATTTTGGGTCTCTTTGTAGTAATGTTGAGTATCTTTGTGGTCACCTTGAGTCTCATTCTGTGCCTATGTGTTTGGTTTATTGTTCTTCCCGGTAGGTACGTGTCTCTTGAGTGTACAGGAGGCTTGTTAGTAATCCATCCAATAAAACCAGTACCCCCTTATTATTGCCCACACACGCATTTACCTCTGAAGATCTGGACGAGTCCCACCACTATGATGAGAACCAGAGCGAGGAGCTTTGCTACAGTGAAAACATCCTGGATCCTTGTCGCCCAGCGCACACTGGAGCAGTTCACCCAGGTCAGGAATACTGCAGAAACATGAACACAAAAACACACATGATTAAAAAAATGTGACATTTCGGACAGGATTTGCTTCATAAATGTAGTCTCTCACAGCCCTAAATATATGTTACCTATATTAGGAGCAATAGACTTTTACATAATAAAATCATAGGTTTTCAGCAGCTGGTTGCATGGACTACACGTATTCTGCTACCTCTCCTGAAAATTGGAATTCTATTTCACCGTTGAAGGTTTCTACTTAGTTGAACTCTGCATAATATAACTCAACATTCCTGTCAGCAGTAACCTCCCTTTCCTTACAAAAAAGAGAGAAGTCTATGGAATATAACACTTCCTACTTTGTTTCTTATTTGCATTAAGTGTCTGTTCGCGTGTGTGTATGCTCCCCATGCCTGTCCCTGAGCCACTGTCCTTCACTGACCCTCAGTTTTATGTCTTTGTGAGTGTGACCATAACAAGAGCTGGCTTACTTCCAAGTGACACAAACCGAGCAAGTGCAAATGGCTCTCCAGCTGCCCCTCAAACTCGAGTGCAGACTTGCAAGTGAAAGGAGTGTCCTGCAGGAAGGCTTAGTCGAGTTACACTACAGATTTTCATAAACAAATACAGATGGGGAAAACGATCGGGGTATGGCGAAACATTTCCAAACCAAATAAATATAATAATTAAATGTGAGTTAATTGTGATAATTCAAGTAATAATAAAAAATAAGATAAACTTAAGTTAAATCATGTAAGGAGGGAGGTTCTAATGAATGTTAATAAAGATTATATTTAAAACTTAAATAGAGGTTTTTGGAATAACATTTTTCCTAGCTGTGCCAGCGAGGAATATGAATAATATTTGTTTTTAATTGTGCTTCATAATAACTAATTGTGTTTATCCCAAGATCCAGGTAGACTGTCGCCTTTATAATACCAGAAGTTATTCTAACAATGTAGATCCAAAATGCTTCCAAATAAGAAATCCAAAAGGCATACGAATGCAGTTGTATCTTGTCTTAAGTGTTCAGTAAGATGCACAATCCTCAACATATACCACACATTAAAGTGAGAAAAACAATGTACTATAACTTTAGCTCAGTCAGGCTGCACATGTATAATATATATTATATGATTGTAGAATATGTACAGCAGATTTGACCTCGTCGACCAGAAAACTTGGAGCTCAGCAGAGAGTAGGGAGCTAGACTCAGAGCCAATGGCTAAATGCTGTGTTAGGATTGTATAGGTATGTAGGAGATGTGTTTCAACCGGTTCCAACAGAAGGAGTGTGTCATGTGAGCAGGGCCGGCCCGCCGCACTGGCGTTATAAATGTTCGCCTAGGGCGCTGAACTGTAGAGGGAGCGCAGGGGTGCAGTCCAGATATATATATATATATATATTTAATAGGCCTATGTATATTTTTTTATTTTTGTAGGCGCCCCCCAGATTCCTTTTTTTTAGGCGCCGCTCAGATCAGGATTCATTTGTTTTTTTGAGAATATGAAAAATATAACGTAGGGGCGCTCCAACACTGCACCACCCCTCTCTATGTTTTCTTTGGTTCTCTCCATTTGTGTTTCGTGTGTCGCGCGCGCTCGCGTTGTGAACGAGAATTAGAAGTTCACTGTCACAACATGAAGCGGGGCAACCCCAACAAAAAGCCGTCTGTGGCGCATTGGAAAAGGCG